TGACGGGTGCAACATATGGAGCAGGATCTGCTTACCCTTCCGGAGCACCTGAGATCACTCCCAGTTTCGGTGGGGTTCGTATTGCTCAGTCTTTATTTTTTTTTGTTGTGTTTTGTGTACTATTGTGTTTCTGTTGGTCTTTTTCTTTTTTAGCCATGGCGTTATCAATTTATTTTCGACTTATGAATTTGAATGTCCCTCTGGAATCTTTCGCCTCTCTTTTGCTAGTCGTATTTATTTATTATGGTCGTTCATTTGATAAAACAGAAATACCTTAAATTAATAAATCATGGGAATAATAAATCGATAAACATTATGTGCACCTTATTAATTGACTTTTGTTATAGAAAACATCCAAGAAGAAAATTTCCGACATATCGGACCATCTGACGACAAAACAGCACAAACACACAAAATAATTAAATTCTTTTTATTTGTGTAACGATATCCAAATATAAATATACGAAAAAGACGATATGAAATAGTATTGACAGATATTTCGGCACAACAAATGGCCTTCATCAGTGTCAGTCCCTTTTAAAAATGTGATAAAACACTGAGATTATATGTGTATCCAAAAAAGATCACTCGCTCACTCGTGTGTTTTGTTCTATAATCCTGCACTTTATAAAATAATCGATATGAAACAGACGTGATATAGTTAGTTTACACCTCACACTCAAGTAGACGTGAACGGTTGTCATTGACATCTATATATTGGTGCAAGAATCACAATTCTAAATTTTTGTTAATTTCGTTGTCTCGGAATAAGCAATAAAGCTATAGATCACAACACACGTTCACCTGTTTGAATGAGTGAGCTTTTTTAACAATACCGTCAATACGATTTCATTTCATTTTGAACGTATTCTTTGATCTTTTGTCATTATCGTTTGGTTTTTATATTTTTCTGTTTGTGCTTTATGATATGAGTACCCAAATTGCACCCATTTTGAAAAAAAAGGAGCGGAAATCTTAGTTTTCTTAGAGACTAAATACTTTGTATTTTTATAATTTGCCATTTTGCACGTCTTTCAACATAGATAAATATATTTAGACTTCCACAAAAAAGTCAATTTCTTTTTAAATGAGCAATTGGAATATGTCATAGACATCTATTTCTTACAAAATGAATAGTCATCATAAACTGATGTCAAATTGTTCTAAACATGTAGAGATATAAAACGAAAGAATAGTTATCCGATTTTTACGGGTGTGAATTTAAGCGTGGTTGCAATTTAGGTACTCATCATTACAGAATCTTTGGTCGTTTGCAAGGTGGTTCAGACCCATTTTTCCTATGATCCAATATGAACTCAAAATTAAATTTGTGGTGTGTAATGCACTATTCGATTTGACCTACACCTTCATTTGTATATTTAGCTCTCAAGTTTACCATTTTCATTATTACCATCAAAACATTGAAAGAGGACAAAATAAAGAACTGAGAAAATATTCTTCTTTTAAGTATAGATTGTAGATTAAATGTAACGGACATATAGAACGCCACAACTGTCTTATGTGGTACTCTGACATTACGTTATTTGGTTTGATTTTTACTTGATGATAATTGTCTTTACATAATATGGTTTTTATATTACTTCATGATGTTTTGATATTACTCAATATGGTATAGTCATTGCTTAATGATATTCCTTATTACATGATATGGTTTTGATATATCTTAATATGGTTTTGTTATATCTTAATATGGTTTTGTAATAACTTAATATGATTTCAACATTATTAAATGTGATTGTGTTATTAAGCGATATGGTTTTAACATTACTTGATGTGCATGTGGGTTAATGTAATATAGTTGTTTCATTACATGGTGTTGATTTGTTATTTCATAATGATGATTTGGCAATTATTTATATGGCTTTAACATTACATAATAATGTTTTAAACTTTGATGATTTTACACTGCATGATGTGTTCGTTCTCGTATTTGATGTGGTTCTGTCATTCTTTGATGTGGTTATCACATTACTTTATGAGGTAAAACCACGTGACCATTTAGGAAAAACTAGTTCTAAAGTCGTTTTTTTTACGGTGCCTCGGATGAGTGTAGCTATCAATACAGTTAAAGTTCAAATAAAGTTAGAGTTACTGTTCAGAGGTATTTGATATGAAAAAAGGGACTTAGGGGCATGCGAACATTATGGGGAAACGGCAGACGAAAATGAGAAACTAAGTACTAAAATTACAATATTTCGTATATAAGGGTGATATCCCTCACCATGTGGTCCGCCTGTTTTTTATTCATAGCTCACAAATGGAAGCAGCATTATAGTAAAACATTTGTAAAGGGTTTCGGGGAACCCTGTGTCTTGCCAGTGATTGATGCTGTCAGTGTAAAACTGTAGAATAAATGATGACGGTAAAAAGTCCATTGATTTTTAAACAAAAATCCAACTTTTTCTTAAGATGCTTTTTCTTGATCTTGAAGATTAGCTTCTGTCCAACATGTCCATGTTTTATAACAATCCATGAAAGTTTACAAAATTATCGTGTCAACTAAGTTTAATTTGGTAAATGTTTACTGCCGAAAAACTTATATAAAAATAAGATGTTGTGGTATGCTGGATTGCCAATAAGACAAATGTCCACTTAGATACCACATGACGTAGAAGTTAAAGACTACAGGTTACCGTACGGCCTTCAAAAATGAGTAAAACCCATACCGCATAGTAAGCTATATAAGGCCCCGAAATAACAAAGTAAAACAATGCAAACGAGAAAACTCACTGCCTGATTAATGTACAAAACAATAAACGAAAAACATGTATAATATACAGCAACAAACGACACTGAAATACAGTTCCCTGACTTCGGACTTAGTTCATCTTTCAGTAAAATACTTAAAAATGAAGAAGAAAAAATTATTTTCAAAATGCTGATTCATTATTTGTCTTCACAGACTGAACCAAAATGTTGCCTACGCCACCACCGACGACAGAATATAGGATCGCTATGATTTGTGAACAAACGAGACACTTTCAATCAAATCACACTAAAGTTCGAGGGAAAAGAGCGGATCGGACTAAGGGACAAAGCACCAATTCATCAATCTTTTATTTTGATAAATTGTGTTCTCTGATAAATCTCACAATTTCTTGAAAAAAAAGCAATAATTTGGAATATCTATTTCACATATGACGACGGATATGTTTCAATTGTTGTAATCATTATCCCTTCCTCTTTAGCTCGAATGTGACCTACCGAATTTGTACTTACAAGAACAACACGACGGATGCCACACGTGAAACAGGATCTGCTTACCCTTCCAGAGCACCCGAGATCACCCACGATATTTGGTGGGTTTTGTATTGCTCAGTCTTACCGATCTTTTGAGTTAAGCAAATTGCAACTGATTTTTAAAATTTGTTCTTATGTTGTGCTGTTACACCACTGACCCAGGTTAGGGGATGGTTGAACGCTCACAAACATGTGAAATCCCGCCACATTCTTTATGTGCCTTTCCATAGTCAGGAGCCTGTAGTTCAGTGGTTTTCATTGGTTTAGTCTGCCATATTTGTTTTTCGTAATTTTGGTTGTTTTAAGTAATCCTTAAATTGTTTTACATTTTTGTGTACGGGCCTTTTATAGCCGACTATACGGTATGTTCAAGGACATATGGTTGCAATTAATTGCTTACTTCATTTGAACTTTGGTTGATAGTTGTCTCACTGGCAGTCATACCACATCTCCTAATTTTTATTAATATTTCTAAGTTGTGTTATGTAAACTGTTACATTGTTTGTATTTTTGGTTGTTTTTCGTTTTTTGTCATGGCATCGTCAGTTTGCATTCGACTTATGAGTTTTAATATCCCTTAGGTACCATTCGCATCTCTTTTGTAACACTGGAATAAATTTATCTTAACTATTGGTATGCAAATAATTTTGATAAAATAGCGGATGGAACCATTTGGCGGAGGACACTCATTTAGCGTTTGATTTTTTTGGCTTTAGTATACTTTTTTTCTCATTTTTGACTGCCGGTCACCCATAATGTAGGCATTCCCCTCATTCCCCTTTTCGAAGCCCGGGTAAAAGCCCTGTATCCGCGATAGAAAATTTAAACTCATGTCAAATATCTCTTAATCTGAATGAGACTCAAATTCGAAGTTTAGCTCGAACTCTTCCTCAAAATGTGACTCAAATTCAAAGTTGAGGTTGCATTGTAACTCGAACTCTACCTTTAAATGTGATTCAAACTCGAATGTCTGATTGAAATTCAATTCTATCCCGTACTTTATTAGTATAATGATGGCTTGACTTCTAAATCGAACTCGAAATTTAACGGGAACAGTAACCCGAATTGAAATTGACCTCGAACCTGGTGGAAAGCCACACTCATTCGATGCACATAAAACAAACGACTTGGAAATCGGTTTAAAAATAGAACTAATTTTACCTAAATGGTCACGTGGTTTAACTTCATCAAGAAATGTGATAACCACATCAAAGAATGACAGAACCACATCAAATACTGGAACGAACACATCATGCAGTGTAAAATCATCAAATTTTGAAACATTATTATGTTATGTTAAAGCCATATGAAGAATTGCCAAATCATCATTCGAAATAACAAAACCACATCATGTAATGAAACAACTCATTACGTTAACCCAAGTACACATCAATTAATGTTAAAACCACATTGCCTAATGACAAAATCACATTAAATAATGTTGAAATCATATTAAGTAATGACAAAACCATATTAGACAAAACCATTTCAAGTCAATACGAAACCACAGCATGTCATATCGAAATATCATTAAGTAATGACTATACCATATTGATTAATATCAAAACATCATTCAAGTAATGTCAAAACCATATTATGTAATGACAAAATATGATCAAGTAATAATAAAAGCTTATAACGTAATGTCAGAGTACCACATAAGATAGTTGTGGCTTTCCATACGGACAAGGCTGTACTTTTATACAACGTTGAATCAGTGTTGAATTTTTGAATTTCAGAAAATTAAAGACGAAAAGGAGAATATGGAGAAATTTTTAAAAACGAAACTCCGAGAAAAAGATTTTTCAGTGCAAGTAAGAAATGATAGTTCATTTGTTTCAGAAGCAACTAAGGTTATAGATCAAATGTCCTTCATGTAGAGTTGATGTAATTCTCCAAAGTGTTTTGAATTTGGTTGTCCATCGCGGAATATATGTAGGATGATTTACCACGCATAAATTTAGAAAATAATATTAACAAAAATACCGAACTCCAAAGTAAATTAAAAAAGGGGTAAGTACATAAAAACTGACAAAATCAAACGTTAGACTATATCAACAAATGAAACGAATGGAAGACAACTGTCATATTTCTGACTTGGTACAGGCATTTTCCGAAGAAAACGGTGAGTTAAACCTGGTTTTATAGCTATCAAAATCTCTCACTTGTTTATAGGTCTGTTAAATTACTAGCATTGGGTTTTTTGTTGATAGTAAATACAGTTTATTAGAATATCATGCCGTACTGGTATAGACTTTTCCGATAAAGTACGAATCAAGCAAAATATAAATACAAGGATAAACAAAATGAAAAAAAACACGTGTCTGATCACACATCTGGACCAACCTGTACTAGGAAAAAGTAAAACAACAAAAATACCGAACTCCAAGGATAATTCAAGACGGAAAGTCCCTTAACATTTGGCAAAATTAAAAGCTCAAACACATCAAACGAATGGAAAACAACTGTTATATTCCTGACTTGGTACAGGCATTTCCTTATGTTGAAAATGGCGGATTAAACCTGGTTTTAAAGCCAAACCTCTCACTTGTATGACAGTCGCAAATAAAATTACAAACCCCAAAAGCCAAAAAACGAATAGCTGGATTCAAATAATACCATGTCACTTAAAGATTCATTCTACTAAAAAGAACATAAGAACAAAAGCTCAAAGACAAATAAAGATACAAATGTAAAGTAAGTAGGAAGATAAACAACTTCAGCACCTATAATTTAAAACTCACTACCATTTTTTTTTTATTTTTGAAGTAGACACAGAATATTTATAAGCTCATGGTACTTACCGACGTACTATTTGAGAAAAAAAAACAAGACGTTCTCTGACAAAACCCTATCTAAATATTTTGTTTTGTTCAGACACCGAATGTAAATAATTGTGGATATAATATCGTTATCTTTTGTCATCGTTTAAATTAAACAATTATATATCATTATAGCTATATTCCTAACTGTAAAAGAGGGACGAAAGATACCAGAGGGACAGTCAAACTCATAGATCGAAAACAAACTGACAACGTCATGGCCAAAAATAAAAAGACAAACAGACAAATAATAGTACAGATGACACAACATAGAAAACTAAAGACTAAGCAACACGAACCCCACCAAAAACTGGGGATGATCTCAGTTGCTCCAGAAGGGTTAGCAGATCCTGCTCCACATGTGGCACCCGTGTAACAAGTTACATGAAATATATCAGCAAAGGCGTAGGTGATTTTGGTGCCTTCATTTTAAAAGAGAGGCGTTGATCAAATTTTAATTTTCTGTGTTTCATTTTATTTACGAATAATTTTTCTATCTGTTTTTTGTTCCTTTTTCGTCGATTCATGACTTGAAGTGATTGCTTGTAAAGTCTCTTTTTAATCTCTTAACAAATTAAGATTGTAATTCCAACAAAACATGTGTGCGATAAAAACGGCTTATAATTAGTTTTTCTAAAGAAACTACTTTCAGCCCCAAAAGACCCTATGAAGAAGCTGCAGGTGTTTCAGTAGTGGCATGTTTGACGTGATAAACATGTTTCGATTCATCAAAAATTTTTATTCAGTCTAGCTGTAGCGTTTAATGACTGATGGTTTAAAAGGTCAGATTGAAGTCAATTACCAATTACAATTCCGCTATTGCGTGATGCGTAATCTCTTGATTAAACTTATCAACATATTTTAACGAAGAAATACGACGGGCTTTATATAAGGAGCAGGGTTTGCTTTTTGAAGTTGTTAACCCTTCCAGAACAATTGATTTAACCCGGCCTTTTAATTGGTTGCATATTGCACAGTCTATGTAGTGTTTTTGTTGTCTTGTTTGAAATTGTCTTTTCGTTGTTTTTCGTTTTTGCCATGTGTATGTCGGTATCTCATTGACTTATGAGTTTTGAATATTCCTTTTAGTATCTTCTGCCTCCTCTTTTATAAACTAATGTGTCTGTATATTTCCGTAAAATTAAATGTTCATTTGAACAAATACTTATGTTGCAAAACATCTTTTGGTAGCACTCCACAGTTAGGAAATAAAATTAAATTGACCCACAAAATATTTTATCATCTTCTATTCCTGGCTTTCTAATAAATTAACCGAACTATTTGTGACTTACATGTGCATATCTATGTAATCAGTATCTTCCGTAAATTTAATTTCCTATAGTTAAAATGCCGAAACATGATTTCTTTTTTGTGTATCAATGGCAATATTCTGCATTTATTTACCATAAAATATTTCAAAAAGGGACATACAATGTCAAATGTTCTCCCTAAATTTAATTCAAAGTAGAATTTCAATCACTGAGAGTGATACCTTTTCTGAAACTATTGACATTAATATATGCAAAACCACACACCTAAACGTGGAGTGCTACCTCAGGTAAAGTTGACCTTGCCGAATTTGTGCTGAATTTGTGTTCTTTTTAAAAACTCATCAAAGAGAGGCGAAAGATACTAAAAGGACATTCAAAGATAACACGTGAATCGGAATCATGCCGTTTTTGTGGAAGAAAGGCATTTTCGAAATATTCGTTATATCAAAATATCTTTGATGTAGTGCTAAATCTTTGGTTACTGTATCAGAAATATGGACAGATAATCTAATTGTGACTATATCAGTGGAAGGTTTAGGAGTTTTTGTCGAGGAATGAAAAACATAAAAAAAAAATTGCTTGAAGACATTCATGTTTTGTTGTAGATAATGTCTGTCGTCAAGTAAGGGTATATCGATATTACAGTCTTTGTACAAGTGTTTGAAAATTTAATAGTCGTTCAATTTTCATCATTGAAGAGGATAACAATAGCAATAGCAATATCATAAATTGGTATTTATTTTTTCGATTTTGCGTTTCAACTATTAACCTCTTATTACTTAGCAACCCTTAATACCTCAAAAGTGTGATCCGTAAGATTTCCTTTAGGAGTTTCTGTTCCAGTAACGACAAAAGCATTTCTTATCTTAAGAAAGAAAAATGAGATATGAAATTAACAAGCTTACGTTTAAATCCTGTGCAGATGTGATAAGCCACCAATAGATGTAAAAATAAGGAGATGTGGTATAATTCCCAATAAGACAACTGTTCACCAGAGTTCAATAAGTGGATGTTAGCAATTATAAGCAACCATACAACATTTAGCAATGAGAAAAATCCATACCGTTTAGTCGGCTATAAAAGGCCCGACATGAAAAATGTGAAACAATTCCAACGAAAAAACTAACGGCCTAATTTATAACCAAAACAATTTACGAAAAACAAATATGACAGACATGAATCAACGGTAACCACTGAACTACAGACTCCTGACTTGGGACAGGTACATAAAGAATGTAGCGAGGTTTAACCTGTTTGTGATTGCTCAACCCCCCCCCCCCCCCTAACCCTTGACAGTGTTGTTACAACACTACATAAGAACAAATTAACTGTAAAAATTAGTTGCAAGATGCTTAACTCAAAAGATGGGTACTAGGCACAAAAACCTAAAACCATTAGACACAAAACACCGAAATAAGAGTACTCGCAGTTACTGAAAGCTTGTTAAAAGCCAATTATAACTAATAAATAAATTATGTTCGCCTAGACTACAGTATTAATCATTACACATTCAACGGATTTAGTGTTAAAACTTCATAAACAGTCTGATAAACACTTGACCTTGTGCAATGTCAAAATATAAGTAAACACTATCGACAGGATATAGGATCATGAGTTCTCTTAACTGTACATATATACTAAGTTATATTTTAATTTTTCAAAAACAAAATCAATATTAATTCCAATAAAAACAATATTTAAAGATTAACTACTGTGTTAAATTGATAACCTTTAAGAATATCTGTATTCAAAGGATCAATTAGTTTACATGGATCGTATCTAAATTTATGGACTTTATATACAACATTGACGTAAAAATTAGGATGTGAAACCCAGTTTTTTAATAAGAACTCTACAGGTAAAGTCAACCTTCCTGACCAAATGTTTGTATATTTGAAAGAATTTGGTAAAGGCTTAAATTAATTTGTGGTATTCAAATCCCTGACTGATTTACTTGATAGAGGGTTGCTGAACACAAGAAAGCTATTAAACCAAGAGTTACAAGTGGTTAAGTTGAAATTATCATTTCGAAACATTTAAGGGACGCCATCACTAGTTGGTGGACCTTTATGGGATATCTGTTTCACCACAATCCCGTCCTCTTTTCCCCGAATGTGACCTACCGAATTAGACTTATCACCCGGTTTGTACTTATATCAGACACACGAAGGATGCCACATGTGGAACAGGATCTGCTTACCCATCCGGAGCACCTGAGATCACCCCGCTTTTTGGCAGGGTCCGTGTTGCTCAGTCTTTAGTTTTCTATGTTGTGTTGTGTATGCTGTTGTTTGTCTTTTTGTCTTTTTCTTTTTTTTTTACATGGCGTTGTCAGTTTATTTTTGATTTATGAGTTTGAGTGTGCCTTTAGTATTTTTTGCCTCTCCTTAACAATTTATCAATTCACCTAAATCACGTTAATAGAAATCTAAAACGCAATTACAGACACAGGCAAAGCGAACACGTTATGAAATATTTAAACCGAAAGAAGGGACCAAAGGAACAATACCGTCCAAAATGGTAAAATTAACAATCGGGAACGACAAATCGTCTCTTTTGTCGAACATTTATGTATAGAGTTACCCGTGGGAAACTGAAATGTCCAAATCTGGAAAAGGACAATTATTGCTTATTTGAGGTAATTTCCTTTTCGTAAATTTCAGCCGTAAATCTTGATTATTTAAAGCGAAAATATCATCAAGGTAACGGTAAGGGTTTTTT